TTCATGCATCCTGGTTGTAATTGGTTCATGCATTCTGGTTGTAATTGGTTCATGCATTCTGGTTGTAATTGTTTCATGCATCCTGGTTGTAATTGGTTCATGCATCCTGGTTGTAATTGGTTCATGCATTCTGGTTGTAATTGGTTCATGCATCCTGGTTGTAATTGGTTCATGCATCCTGGTTGTAATTGGTTCATGCATCCTGGTTGTAATTGGTTCATACATTCTGGTTGTAATTGTTTCATGCATCCTGGTTGTAATTGGTTCATGCATCCTGGTTGTAATTGTTTCATGCATCCTGGTTGTAATTGTTTCATGCATCCTGGTTGTAATTGGTTCATGCATCCTGGTTGTAATTGGTTCGTGCATCCTGGTTGTAATTGTTTCATGCATCCTGGTTGTAATTGGTTCATGCATCCTGGTTGTAATTGGTTCATGCATCCTGGTTGTAATTGGTTCATGCATTCTGGTTGTAATTGGTTCATGCATTCTGGTTGTAATTGGTTCATGCATCCTGGTTGTAATTGGTTCATGCATCCTGGTTGTAATTGGTTCATGCAGCCTGGTTGTAATTGGTTCATGCATCCTGGTTGTAATTGGTTCATGCATCCTGGTTGTAATTGGTTCATGAATCCTGGTTGTAGTTGGTTCATGCATCCTGGTTGTAATTGGTTCATGCATCCTGGTTGTAATTGTTTCATGGATCCTGGTTGTAATTGTTTCATGCATCCTGGTTGTAATTGGTTCATGCATTCTGGTTGTAATTGTTTCATGCATCCTGGTTGTAATTGTTTCACGCATCCTGGTTGTAATTGGTTCATGCATCCTGGTTGTAATTGGTTCATGCATCCTGGTTGTAATTGGTTCATGCAGCCTGGTTGTAATTGGTTCATGCATCCTGGTTGTAATTGGTTCATGCATCCTGGTTGTAATTGGTTCATGAATCCTGGTTGTAGTTGGTTCATGCATCCTGGTTGTAATTGGTTCATGCATCCTGGTTGTAATTGTTTCATGCATCCTGGTTGTAATTGTTTCACGCATCCTGGTTGTAATTGGTTCATGCATTCTGGTTATAATTGTTTCATGCATCCTGGTTGTAATTGTTTCACGCATCCTGGTTGTAATTGGTTCATGCATTCTGGTTGTAATTGTTTCACGCATCCTGGTTGTAATTGGTTCATGCATTCTGGTTGTAATTGTTTCATGCATCCTGGTTGTAATTGTTTCATGCATCCTGGTTGTAATTGGTTCATGCATCCTGGTTGTAATTGGTTCGTGCATCCTGGTTGTAATTGTTTCATGCATCCTGGTTGTAATTGGTTCATGCATCCTGGTTATAATTGGTTCATGCATCGTGGTTGTAATTGGTTCATGCATTCTGGTTGTAATTCGTTCATGCATTCTGGTTGTAATTGGTTCATGCATCCTGGTTGTAATTGGTTCATGCATCCTGGTTGTAATTGGTTCATGCATCCTGGTTGTAATTGGTTCATGCATCCTGGTTGTAATTGGTTCATGCATCCTGGTTGTAATTGGTTCATGCATTCTGGTTGTTATTGGTTCATGCATCCTGGTTGTAATTGGTTCATGCATTCTGGTTGTAATTGGTTCATGCATTCTGGTTGTAATTGTTTCATGCATCCTGGTTGTAATTGGTTCATGCATCCTGGTTGTAATTGGTTCATGCATCCTGGTTGTAATTGGTTCATGCATCCTGGTTGTAATTGGTTCATGCTTTCTGGTTGTAATTGGTTCTTGCATCCTGGTTGTAATTGGTTCATGCATCCTGGTTGTAATTGGTTCATGCATCCTGGTTGTAATTGGTTCATGCATCCTGGTTGTAATTGGTTCATGCATCCTGGTTGTAATTGGTTCATGCATCCTGGTTGTAATTGGTTCATGCATCGTGGTTGTAATTGGTTCATGCATCGTGGTTGTAATTGGTTCATGCATCCTGGTTGTAATTGTTTCATGCATCGTGGTTGTAATTGGTTCATGCATTCTGGTTGGAATTGGTTCATGCATCCTGGTTGTAATTGGTTCATGCATCGTGGTTGTAATTGGTTCATGCATCCTGGTTGTAATTGGTTCATGCATCCTGGTTGTAATTGGTTCATGCATTCTGGTTGAAATTGGTTCATGCATCGTGGTTGTAATTGGTTCATGCATCGTGGTTGTAATTGGTTCATGCATCCTGGTTGTAATTGTTTCATGCATCGTGGTTGTCATTGGTTCATGCATTCTGGTTGTAATTGGTTCATGCATTCTGGTTGTTATTGGTTCATGCATCCTGGTTGTAATTGGTTCATGCATTCTGGTTGTAATTGGTTCATGCATTCTGGTTGTAATTGTTTCATGCATCCTGGTTGTAATTGGTTCATGCATCCTGGTTGTAATTGGTTCATGCATTCTGGTTGTTATTGGTTCATGCATCCTGGTTGTAATTGGTTCATGCATTCTGGTTGTAATTGGTTCATGCATTCTGGTTGTAATTGTTTCATGCATCCTGGTTGTAATTGGTTCATGCATTCTGGTTGTAATTGGTTCATGCATCCTGGTTGTAATTGGTTCATGCATCCTGGTTGTAATTGGTTCATGCATTCTGGATGTAATTGGTTCTTGCATCCTGGTTGTAATTGGTTCATGCATCGTGGTTGTAATTGGTTCATGCATCGTGGTTGTAATTGGTTCATGCATCCTGGTTGTAATTGGTTCATGCATCCTGGTTGTAATTGTTTCACGCATCCTGGTTGTAATTGGTTCATGCATTCTGGTTGTAATTGGTTCATGCATCCTGGTTGTAATTGGTTCATGCATCCTGGTTGTAATTGGTTCATGCATCGTGGTTGTAATTGGTTCATGCATCCTGGTTGTAATTGGTTCATGCATCCTGGTTGTAATTGGTTCATGCATTCTGGTTGAAATTGGTTCATGCATTCTGGCTGTAATTGGTTCATGCATCCTGGTTGTAATTGGTTCATGCATCCTGGTTGTAATTGGTTCATGCAGCCTTGTTGTAATTGGTTCATGCATCCTGGTTGTAATTGGTTCATGCATCCTGGTTGTAATTGGTTCATGAATCCTGGTTGTAGTTGGTTCATGCATCCTGGTTGTAATTGGTTCATGCATCCTGGTTGTAATTGTTTCATGCATCCTGGTTGTAATTGGTTCATGCATTCTGGTTGTAATTGTTTCATGCATCCTGGTTGTAATTGTTTCACGCATCCTGGTTGTAATTGGTTCATGCATCCTGGTTGTAATTGGTTCATGCATCCTGGTTGTAATTGGTTCATGCAGCCTGGTTGTAATTGGTTCATGCATCCTGGTTGTAATTGGTTCATGCATCCTGGTTGTAATTGGTTCATGAATCCTGGTTGTAGTTGGTTCATGCATCCTGGTTGTAATTGGTTCATGCATCCTGGTTGTAATTGTTTCATGCATCCTGGTTGTAATTGTTTCACGCATCCTGGTTGTAATTGGTTCATGCATTCTGGTTATAATTGTTTCATGCATCCTGGTTGTAATTGTTTCACGCATCCTGGTTGTAATTGGTTCATGCATTCTGGTTGTAATTGTTTCACGCATCCTGGTTGTAATTGGTTCATGCATTCTGGTTGTAATTGTTTCATGCATCCTGGTTGTAATTGTTTCATGCACGTATCATGGCGCCCTCTTTCGCCCCACAAGGCCGATGTCCCCAATGGCTGCTTCCGTAGGACCCCGGTCTCGGTCGGCGAAAGAAGTCAAGTTTCTCCGCCATAGCGAGAATTTCTTGAAAGTCGGTGACGCCGCGAAGCTGGATTTCCTGAGCGATGTCCTGCTTCAGGTCGCCGATGTAGCGGTCGATGCGCTCGCTCTCGTGCATATATCCCACTTGCTCGCACAGCGCCAGAAATCCGCTCGTGTAATCTTGGACGGAACCGAGTTGGCGCCAAGTGCGGAGCTTCTCTCGCGCCGCGATCGAAGCCGCGATTGGCTCAAAACGAGCGCGCAGACCTGCGCACCACGCGTCCCACGTGCGATACTGGGGCACCTCCACGAAATACGACGGCGCCCAGGGTCCGGTTTGTCCTTCCCATGTCGGTAGAGTCGCGTAGTCCACCGGCTTCGTGATGATGACGCGCCACCAGTCCATGGCGGGTCCTCGCAGCAACGACACGGCGTAGAGAATCTTCGCCGTATCCTCCGAGACGTAGTTGGCGTCGAAGAAGACGTTCAACGTGAAGAGCCACGCCTGAACGGTAGGACCACCCCGCTGACTTGGGTCAAAGCATGGCGGACGCTGCGGCTTTAGCGGCATCGGCAACGGAAGAAATAATTCGCTGGCCGGCACCGAAATCGTGACTCGAGGCTGAGTCGTGGCCACATTCGTCGCGTCGGGGTGTGTCGTGCCGTGGTCGTCGTCTCCGTCATGGCGGACGACGCCATCACTTGCGGCGCTTGCGGGTTGCCCCACACTTCCGTGCTGTGATGTCTGTGGTGCGGGCTGAATCAGAGTGCTAGGTGCTTGGGATTGTGCCCGTGTGAGGTCGTTTTGCAGGGACGAGCGTTCTGCCGTCAACGTCGCGATTTCCTCGACGCTCTCGCGGATTTGTCGCAACAGATTGTTCAAGTGCTCCTGCGCGAGAGTCGTGATGTCGATATGTTCAGCCATTTCAAAGGGCGTCGCCTCGTCTTAGTCTAGGCGCAGTCGTGGCTGCACGCGTTTACGAGAGAACGCGAGGAAAACGGCTCCTAGGTGCTAAGGTACGTGAGTCCCTTCGAGTGAAAAATCAAAAGTTGATTACCTGGGGTGCGGAGATGCATGGTCCGAAAGAAAGGGGCTCTAAATAGCAAGTGTGACGAGTTGGTGGAAGTACACATCTGGATCCATCCTTTCTACGTGCCCAACACGCGTACGGGAGCATGGGAACGCTTACGCGGGGGGGCAGCTTGTATTCTGAAATGATTGGAATCAAACTAGGTACGGTACTTGGAAAAGGAACCTTGTTACGGGTGCAATGAATCGAAGTCCGGTTCTTGCCGACTGGGATGTGGACGGTGATATGGGCACGGGGCGCGTTCCTCCCCAAGACACGGTAAGTCGGATAAACGTCGGCCAAGCTATGATGTCGACGTCGGCGTTCCTAACGACCAGTTTCGTGTGATTGCGTGACAGGTTCAATGATATCCTCGGGAAGTATCGAGCATACAAGACATCAGGCAATGCGCACCACGATGCGCTTTTGCCCGCGATCTGGTTCCCCGTCGATGCCGACAAGTCGGATGCAATGATGTCGGCCATGATTGATCGCGTGTCCATGTGCGCGGCGTATGGGATGGTCGCTGCATCCGCGGCGAGAATGGAGGGCGACACGGATCAGAAGACGGCGAAGGTCGCACAGGCGCTGTCGGCCTCCGCTTGCGCCCTGTGGTGCTTAGTCGATGGCGACGGCGCCCAGGTGGCTGATGCCGTCCGCGAAGGGAAGGCGGCGGCGATGTTGGTCGGCGCCAGCGAGACTACCGCCGCCGAGTTCAAGAAGGTCATGACGGCGGTGCTGGAGGCCGCGATCAGCAGGCAGCAACCCCTTGGGGAGGTTGCGCACAACGTCGCACCGGCGCTGGAGTCCACCGCTCTGGCCAAAGCCTATCCGGGGTTGGATGTTGAAGCCGAGGCCAAACTGATCGCACGAGCGACGGTGGAAACCCTCGCGTTCTGGGGAATGTGCCCCGTGGATGGGCCGAAACACAGGAAGATCGGCATCGCGGTGCCGCTTGACGCGCAGATGGAGTACGACATCGAACACAGGGGGAGGAAGAGGCCGAGGGGCAAGCAGGGCAAGGACAGCTCGGGGAAGAAGGGGAAGAAGGGCAGAGCGGGCAAGGACAGCACGGCGGCGTAGTCGGCTTAACAATCTGCCATGGGCGGCAGGAGGGAGCACAAGTAGGTCTTCTTGCTAGGATGGCCTGGTATGGGCGCTAGTAGGTCTTCTTGTAATTGTTTCATGCATCCTGGTTGTAATTGGTTCATGCATCCTGGTTGTACTTGTTTCATGCATCCTGGTTGTAATTGTTTCATGCATCGTGGTTGTAATTGGTTCATGCATCGTGGTTGTAATTGGTTCATGCATCCTGGTTGTAATTGTTTCATGCATCGTGGTTGTAATTGGTTCATGCATTCTGGTTGTAATTGGTTCATGCATCCTGGTTGTAATTGGTTCATGCATCCTGGTTGTAATTGGTTCATGCATCCTGGTTGTAATTGTTTCATGCATCCTGGTTGTAATTGTTTCATGCATCCTGGTTGTAATTGGTTCATGCATCCTGGTTGTAATTGGTTCGTGCATCCTGGTTGTAATTGTTTCATGCATCCTGGTTGTAATTGGTTCATGCATCCTGGTTATAATTGGTTCATGCATCGTGGTTGTAATTGGTTCATGCATTCTGGTTGTAATTGGTTCATGCATTCTGGTTGTAATTGGTTCATGCATCCTGGTTGTAATTGGTTCATGCATCCTGGTTGTAATTGGTTCATGCATCCTGGTTGTAATTGGTTCATGCATCCTGGTTGTAATTGGTTCATGCATCCTGGTTGTAATTGTTTCATGCATCGTGGCTGTATTTGGTTCATGCATTCTGGTTGTAATTGGTTCATGCATCCTGGTTGTAATTGGTTCATGCATCCTGGTTGTAATTGGTTCATGCATCCTGGTTGTAATTGGTTCATGCATTCTGGTTGTAATTGGTTCATGCATCCTGGTTGTAATTGGTTCATGCATCCTGGTTGTAATTGGTTCATGCATCGTGGTTGTAATTGGTTCATGCATCCTGGTTGTAATTGGTTCATGCATCCTGGTTGTAATTGGTTCATGCATTCTGGTTGAAATTGGTTCATGCATCGTGGTTGTAATTGGTTCATGCATCGTGGTTGTAATTGGTTCATGCATCCTGGTTGTAATTGTTTCATGCATCGTGGTTGTAATTGGTTCATGCATTCTGGTTGTAATTGGTTCATGCATTCTGGTTGTTATTGGTTCATGCATCCTGGTTGTAATTGGTTCATGCATTCTGGTTGTAATTGGTTCATGCATTCTGGTTGTAATTGTTTCATGCATCCTGGTTGTAATTGGTTCATGCATCCTGGTTGTAATTGGTTCATGCATTCTGGTTGTTATTGGTTCATGCATCCTGGTTGTAATTGGTTCATGCATTCTGGTTGTAATTGGTTCATGCATTCTGGTTGTAATTGTTTCATGCATCCTGGTTGTAATTGGTTCATGCATCCTGGTTGTAATTGGTTCATGCATCCTGGTTGTAATTGGTTCATGCATCCTGGTTGTAATTGGTTCATGCATTCTGGTTGTAATTGGTTCTTGCATCCTGGTTGTAATTGGTTCATGCATCCTGGTTGTAATTGGTTCTTTCTTCGTGGTTGTAATTGGTTCATGCATCCTGGTTGTAATTGGTTCATGCATCCTGGTTGTAATTGTTTCACGCATCCTGGTTGTAATTGGTTCATGCATTCTGGTTGTAATTGGTTCATGCATCCTGGTTGTAATTGGTTCATGCATCCTGGTTGTAATTGGTTCATGCATCGTGGTTGTAATTGGTTCATGCATCCTGGTTGTAATTGGTTCATGCATCCTGGTTGTAATTGGTTCATGCATTCTGGTTGAAATTGGTTCATGCATCGTGGTTGTAATTGGTTCATGCATCGTGGTTGTAATTGGTTCATGCATCCTGGTTGTAATTGTTTCATGCATCGTGGTTGTAATTGGTTCATGCATTCTGGTTGTAATTGGTTCATGCATCCTGGTTGTAATTGGTTCATGCATCCTGGTTGTAATTGGTTCATGCATCCTGGTTGTAATTGGTTCATGCATTCTGGTTGTAATTGTTTCATGCATCCTGGTTGTAATTGGTTCATGCATCCTGGTTGTAATTGTTTCATGCATCCTGCTTGTAATTGTTTCATGCATCCTGGTTGTAATTGGTTCATGCATCCTGGTTGTAATTGGTTCGTGCATCCTGGTTGTAATTGTTTCATGCATCCTGGTTGTAATTGGTTCATGCATCCTGGTTGTAATTGGTTCATGCATCCTGGTTGTAATTGGTTCATGCACTCTGGTTGTAATTGGTTCATGCATTCTGGTTGTAATTGGTTCATGCATCCTGGTTGTAATTGGTTCATGCATCCTGGTTGTAATTGGTTCATGCAGCCTGGTTGTAATTGGTTCATGCATCCTGGTTGTAATTGGTTCATGCATCCTGGTTGTAATTGGTTCATGAATCCTGGTTGTAGTTGGTTCATGCATCCTGGTTGTAATTGGTTCATGCATCCTGGTTGTAATTGTTTCATGCATCCTGGTTGTAATTGTTTCACGCATCCTGGTTGTAATTGGTTCATGCATCCTGGTTGTAATTGGTTCATGCATCCTGGTTGTAATTGGTTCATGCAGCCTGGTTGTAATTGGTTCATGCATCCTGGTTGTAATTGGTTCATGCATCCTGGTTGTAATTGGTTCATGAATCCTGGTTGTAGTTGGTTCATGCATCCTGGTTGTAATTGGTTCATGCATCCTGGTTGTAATTGTTTCATGCATCCTGGTTGTAATTGTTTCACGCATCCTGGTTGTAATTGGTTCATGCATTCTGGTTATAATTGTTTCATGCATCCTGGTTGTAATTGTTTCACGCATCCTGGTTGTAATTGGTTCATGCATTCTGGTTGTAATTGTTTCACGCATCCTGGTTGTAATTGGTTCATGCATTCTGGTTGTAATTGTTTCATGCATCCTGGTTGTAATTGTTTCATGCATCCTGGTTGTAATTGGTTCATGCATCCTGGTTGTAATTGGTTCGTGCATCCTGGTTGTAATTGTTTCATGCATCCTGGTTGTAATTGGTTCATGCATCCTGGTTAGAATTGGTTCATGCATCGTGGTTGTAATTGGTTCATGCATTCTGGTTGTAATTGGTTCATGCATTCTGGTTGTAATTGGTTCATGCATCCTGGTTGTAATTGGTTCATGCATCCTGGTTGTAATTGGTTCATGCATCCTGGTTGTAATTGGTTCATGCATTCTGGTTGTAATTGGTTCATGCATCCTGGTTGTAATTGGTTCATGCATTCTGGTTGTTATTGGTTCATGCATCCTGGTTGTAATTGGTTCATGCATTCTGGTTGTAATTGGTTCATGCATTCTGGTTGTAATTGTTTCATGCATCCTGGTTGTGATTGGTTCATGCATCCTGGTTGTAATTGGTTCATGCATCCTGGTTGTAATTGGTTCATGCATCCTGGTTGTAATTGGTTCATGCATTCTGGTTGTAATTGGTTCATGCATCCTGGTTGTAATTGGTTCATGCATCCTGGTTGTAATTGGTTCATGCATCGTGGTTGTAATTGGTTCATGCATCCTGGTTGTAATTGGTTCATGCATCCTGGTTGTAATTGGTTCATGCATTCTGGTTGAAATTTGTTCATGCATCGTGGTTGTAATTGGTTCATGCATCGTGGTTGTAATTGGTTCATGCATCCTGGTTGTAATTGTTTCATGCATCGTGGTTGTAATTGGTTCATGCATTCTGGTTGTAATTGGTTCATGCATCCTGGTTGTAATTGGTTCATGCATCCTGGTTGTAATTGGTTCATGCATCCTGGTTGTAATTGGTTCATGCATCGTGGTTGTAATTGGTTCATGCATCCTGGTTGTAATTGGTTCATGCATCCTGGTTGTAATTGGTTCATGCATTCTGGTTGAAATTTGTTCATGCATCGTGGTTGTAATTGGTTCATGCATCGTGGTTGTAATTGGTTCATGCATCCTGGTTGTAATTGTTTCATGCATCGTGGTTGTAATTGGTTCATGCATTCTGGTTGTAATTGGTTCATGCATCCTGGTTGTAATTGGTTCATGCATCCTGGTTGTAATTGGTTCATGCATCCTGGTTGTAATTGGTTCATGCATCGTGGTTGTAATTGGTTCATGCATCCTGGTTGTAATTGGTTCATGCATCCTGGTTGTAATTGGTTCATGCATTCTGGTTGAAATTTGTTCATGCATCGTGGTTGTAATTGGTTCATGCATCGTGGTTGTAATTGGTTCATGCATCCTGGTTGTAATTGTTTCATGCATCGTGGTTGTAATTGGTTCATGCATTCTGGTTGTAATTGGTTCATGCATCCTGGTTGTAATTGGTTCATGCATCCTGGTTGTAATTGGTTCATGCATCCTGGTTGTAATTGGTTCATGCATTCTGGTTGTAATTGTTTCATGCATCCTGGTTGTAATTGGTTCATGCATCCTGGTTGTAATTGGTTCATGCAGCCTGGTTGTAATTGGTTCATGCATCCTGGTTGTAATTGGTTCATGCATCCTGGTTGTAATTGGTTCATGAATCCTGGTTGTAGTTGGTTCATGCATCCTGGTTGTAATTGGTTCATGCATCCTGGTTGTAATTGGTTCATGCATCGTGGTTGTAATTGGTTCATGCATCCTGGTTGTAATTGGTTCATGCATCCTGGTTGTAATTGGTTCATGCATTCTGGTTGAAATTGGTTCATGCATCGTGGTTGTAATTGGTTCATGCATCGTGGTTGTAATTGGTTCATGCATCCTGGTTGTAATTGTTTCATGCATCGTGGTTGTAATTGGTTCATGCATTCTGGTTGTAATTGGTTCATGCATCCTGGTTGTAATTGGTTCATGCATCCTGGTTGTAATTGGTTCATGCATCCTGGTTGTAATTGGTTCATGCATTCTGGTTGTAATTGTTTCATGCATCCTGGTTGTAATTGGTTCATGCATCCTGGTTGTAATTGTTTCATGCATCCTGCTTGTAATTGTTTCATGCATCCTGGTTGTAATTGGTTCATGCATCCTGGTTGTAATTGGTTCGT